TACCTTTAGTGACAAGTGATTCTGGTGAAGATGTGTGTGACAGTCAAAGAGGAAATAGTCCCCAGTGAGCTGGTCCTCAGGGGGCCACAGAGAGGGAACGTTGTTCCAGGTATACAAAGTGCTACCAAACCTCTGCCTACAGCTGCAGCTCCAAGACCTGGGCCTCTTGTTCTCTCCTCACCAGGGATCTTTGCTTATTATTCTAGTGTTCTACTTTCTGTCCCTGAGCTGGTTGTTTCTTCTTTTTTTTTTTTTTTGTTCCCCTTTCCCCCAGCTATCTTCCCTTCCATTATGGTTTATTTTCACTCTCTGAAAGAGTCTTTATTTAGGTTGTCCTGGCATTGATTGAGAAAAAAAATTAAAATATATATATTTTATTGATTTCAAAAAGGGAGAAGGAGAAAGAAAAAGAAAAATCAATGATGAGAGAGAATAATTTATCAGCTGCCTCCTACATGCCTCCCACTGGGGTTCAAGCCTGCAACCTGGGCATGTGCCCTGACTAGAAATTGAACCATGACCTCCAGGTTTATAGTCACTGCTCAATTACTGAGCCACACCAGCTGGGCAGAGTGAGAAAACTTTCAGCTCAATTAACAGAAAACCAAATTGGCTTTGGCTAATAGGATTTTTTTTTTTTTTTTTGTCCTATATAAGAGTCTAGAACAGTAGTCAGTAAACTCATTAGTCAACAGAGCCAAATATCAACAGTACGATTGAAATTTCTTTTGAGAGCCAATATTTTTAAACTTAAACTACATAGGTAGGTACATTGTTATTCACTTAATTAGGATACCCCTAAGCTTGCCTTTGCTAAAAACTCAAGGAGCCAAAGAGCCGCATGTGGTAGGTTGTTGCAGATATTGGTTCAACTGCTCAATGCCAATATTAGCACCTTGGTTGCAAGATGGCTGCTGCAGATCCAGGCAGCATGTGCCTACATTTAGGGCAGCAAGATTACAAAAGGAGCAAGGCCAGCACCCTCTCTTGTTGCATCTGTAGCATGAGTATGCACACACACAGGAAGACTCCTGCCCCAGCTCATTGACGGGAACTGTGTCATATGACTATGCTTAACTGCTGTGATTATTGGGCAAGTGAGTATTGAGCTTTTAGAGTCTCTATAATAGGAAGGTAGCAAGATAGAAGGACATTGAGAAAGGTTATTAGCAGTCAGCTAATGAAAAATGTCTGTCATTGTCACTAACTTGCATGTGGCATCTATCTTAGATAGTGCTTATATATAAGCCATCTACTAGGAGATGTTTTGTAAAATATTAAGTATTTACTCAATATTAATAGAATGATAGGCACTTGTCTAGGTGCAGTTGTTCTCTTTGGTAATGCTTACCACAATTTTAGTAGTTATATATTTGTGAATAATAAGTGCTATGGCAAAAACATAGCTAAGAAAGGGACAGTGGGGAGACATGGATAGTGTGAGAGAGCAGGAGAGAATTGGCTGTAAGTTACAGAATGTTAGAATTTAGTACTAAATGCCACAAACTTGCCTTGCTTTAAAGGCAAACTAGCAGACATTTCTGTTCTAGATAAGAGGGGAAGGAATTGCTCAGCACCAGGAGACAAGTGTCCAGTTTTCACTGCACAACCAGTCTATTCTCTTTCAAATAGTTGGCCTATAAACTTCCTTTCTCTAGGCTGTGCTTAGTGTAAACTTCAAACTTCTGAGCACCATTTCAGTTTGCACTTGGCCTATGGTCCACCCCATATTGGTTCTCTTAGGGTTTTTTTGTTGTTGTTGTTGTTTTTCTTTGTTTGTTTTTTTAAAATATATTTTTATCGATTTTGTACAAAGAGGAAGGGAGAGAGATAGAGAGTTAGAAACATCGATGAGAGAGAGTCATCGATCAGCTGCCTCTTGCACACCCCCTACTGGGGATATGCCCGCAACCAAGGTACATGCCCTTGACCGGAATCGAACCCGGGACCTTTCAGTTCCCAAGCCGACGCTCTATCCATTGAGCCAAACCGGTTTTGGCGATTCTCTTAGTTTTTAAAAACTCACCAGAGGACATAGTAGAACTAACATATACTTGGATATTCTTAGGCATTAGGCATTAGATTTTTACCAAGGAAAGACACTGCCCATTTTATTTCTGTGTGGCTATATAAGATCTATATGTTGAATTTTTAAGTTTATTTTACTGATCATCCTCCTATCTCTCTTACTAACTTGTGACCCCGCCCCCCCACCCTGGCTTTATCTAGGCTAATTCTCCCTTATCTTTCACCTTTTAATAAATTATGGCTGCCTTAGGAAACAATTTTCTTAAAACTTAGACTAGCTAAGTCTCTGTTTATGCTCCTGTAAATCCATTGCTCTCTTTGATAATGATTGCCATAGTTTCAGTACTTATTTGTGTAATAGTTTGATTAATGCTTAGGTTTTTTGTTAGTTTTTTTTTTAAATTGATTTCAGAGAGGAAGGGTGAGAGACAGAGAGATAGAAATATCCATGATGAGAGAGAATCATGGATTGGCTGCCCGCAACCCAGGCATGTGCCCTTTACTGGAATCAAACCCAGGACTTCAGTCCACAGGCCAACGCTTTGTCCACTGAGCTAAGCCAGCTAGGGATGATTAATGCTGGCTTAAAATCCTGTAGTAGACTATAAGTGCTATGAGGGCAGGGGCCATATCTGCCTTGCTCAAGTCTATACCTCACTGTGTAGCAGTGCTGGACATACGCAGTGGCACTCAATAATATTAGTGAGCTAATCAATATATTCAGTCTACAAGTGACTAGCACAGTGTCTCAAAAGGCTAGTCCTCTATGGTAGACACTGATTGTGAAGCTCAGCCCAATCCCCCTTCAGGAATAGAAGACTTAGCCCCATCTGCTCCCTAGTCCTGGCAGAAACCCTCAATTCTCAGCATTCTTTGGAGAAGCCTCGGTTAAAGAAATGGACAGCCCCAAGTCATTGGTTTGCATCCAGTTGAAGGCCCAGCCATTCATCTCAACTCAAGACACCTTTAAAAGGCCATCCCAGACCCAAGATGTCTCTGAAGACTTTGTTGCAATGGCTTTACAGATCAGCTTCTCACTCTGCTCACTTCCCTTTCACAGGGATTGATTCTAAGACCATACAAGAGCATGTCTTGCATGCTAATCTCCCTGTCAGATTCTACTTCCTGGGTAACGCAACCAGTGATGGCTATCACAGAATTGTTTACTGAACTGAATATTCTGTTCTATTCCATAGACTCCTAAACAGCAAAAATCAGTTCTTATTTATCTGTACATCTTTACGGTGACTAGAAGGTCCCTGTCCTATAGTGAGTGCTATATCCACCCAAAATTCACATGTTGAAATTCTCACTCTCGAAGATATGATATAAGGAGAGGTGCTTACGTCACAAGGGTAGAACCTCACGAATGGGATTAGTGCCCTTATACAACAGGTTCCGGAGAGATCCCTACCTCTTCCACCATGTGAGGTTGCAAGAAATCTGTTACCCAGAAGAGAGCCCTCAGTGGTCCACGATGGCACCCTCGCCTCAGACTTCCCATTTTCAGAACTGAGAAAAAAAAAATTCTGTTTTTCATAAGCCATGCCATAGTATTATAGCAGCCTGAATGTACTAAGGTAGTGTCATCATAAACACATCAAACAAAATACTCCCCAAAATGAAGACTAGATGGAGCTAAAGCCATCCTATTCAAAGTGTGGCCTGAGAGCCAGTGGCATTGGCATTCCCTGAGTATCTCATTAGAAATATAACATCTCAAGCCCCAACCTGAACCAGACCTACTGAACTTGAATCTGCATTATAACAAGCCCCCCACCCCTCACCCTAGGTGATTCACCTGTACTTTGAAGTTGGAGACATACTGAGCGAAGGGATTTTATTCACATAAATAATATGATCTAGCTAGTAATTCCTCTCAAGTTTGTACACTATTTTCATATGGTTTTCCTCTAAAATTTAGCTTAACTGTAGTGTAATCATGTATTCTTCTGGTCAACAAATACTTATTAAGTGCCAAAGGTTTCAGACCTATGGGGTTTGAGAAAATAAACAACAATATGCATATTGCAGAATGTGGGGTGAAAGTGCTAAGTGCCATGAAAATATAGGTCAAGATAAAAAGAAGGGCAGGTGGGCTGAAATTTCAAATTTTTGCATGATAAGCAGAGACTTGAAATAGGTAATTAGCTTTATGGACACCTCATGTGGCCGTAGTGAGATGGGACAGCAGATGTGATAGCAGGTAGATCTCATGATAAGGGGCTATTTAATAAATTGATATTTGATACTTAATTGCTGAAAAAAAGTAATACAAGCTACTTTCCCCTCAAGAACAGTGTATTTTCTTAGCCAATCCAAATCGATTTGGGCTGTGGAAGTTTCCATAAAACATTTCACCAGCGACGCTTCAGATTCCTCAAATACCAACGTAGGGATTAGAGAGACGGCACTTAAGGGCTGTTTCTGTTCTACACTCTCAAGTTCCCAGATGCCTTGAGGGCCAGTCGAATAGGAGACAGTGACGTGGCTGGGTGGCGGCCTAAAGAGGGCAAAGCTTTCAACCCCAGGATACTGAGAAAATAGGAAGTGGGCTCGTGGGAGGTGGTGCCAAGCATAAAAAGAAACACAACCACCAACAGTAACCATTGCACCCAAGTTCCTCAGAAACCCCTGCACGCAGGTTGCGACTCCAGACTGTCCTGACCCTAACGCCTTGACACCTCGACATCATCGGCCTCTCCTTGCCTATTCGTCCCAATAATTCGGCTTCCCAGCCCTGGATCCAACCAGCCTCTCAGCTCACGTCCTGGCCCCGCCCAGCTCCCTAGCCACGCCCCCGGCCCCGCCCCCACTTCTGGCCCCGCCTCCCGATCTAATCTCGCACTGTCCACTCGCTGCGGCCCAGAGCTCCCGGCCGCGGGGGCGGAAGTGAGGCGAGGCCCGGGCCGCGGGGTCGGCGGGAGACACCCGCAGCCGCTCGGGGCCGCTCCCCGTCTGCCCGCAGCAGCATGGCTCTCCTCCTCCTCCTCGTCGCCCTCACCACGCAGGCGGCGAGCTGGGCGGAGAGCAGCGCCGCGGATCCGGAGCCGTCCTCGGGTACTGCGGGTCGCGGCCGGGTGGCTGGCGGGTGGAGGCGGGAGGAGGGGAGGGAGGAGGCCGCGGCGGCCGGGAAGCCCCGCCGGGAGGGGCCTCGCCGCAGCCGCCCGGGGCGGCCGGTTCTCGGACGCTCTGGGCCGTCCGCCCGCTGCGGGGGCGGGGGCGGCGGCGGCGGCGGCGGTGGGGAAGGCGATTCGGGTTTCTGCGGTTTGCACACCTCGGTTGGTTCCCTTTCTCTCACCACCTCCGCTGTTACCAAATAACAAAGCCCGCCTCCCTCTCACGTCTTGAGTTCTCCTCATTCATTTTTACATCAAGTGCAGTTTCCCTGGCCGGCATCTGTAAACCGGCCACAGCTCCTGACTGTCTAACGGGCCCCCCCACCCCCCTTGGGGCGGACCCCAAAGCCTCCGGATGGGAGCGGAGTTGGTCTTTGCCTGGGAGGGCCGCCGGGTGGGTCCTGCTGCCAGATTGGCTCCCGGGGGGTCTCTTCGCCGCCGCCGGGAGCCTTTGACTTCCGCCTGCTCCTTGGCATTTCCCAGGAAACGCGCCCGAGGAACGCCTTTTCCAGAGCTCGGTGTCATGGCCACTCGGAACGCGGATGCGATCGATCTAGATGCGATCGATCTAGCAGGCTTAAACCTCGTCTGCAAGGGGGATAACCTTCAATGACCCGTTAGTCTTGAGGGTCTCCTTCCTGTCCACAGCCGGCGCCGGCCTGGGAGGGGTCAGGGAGGCCCAGCCTCTCTCCCTCGTCAGCCTTGGCAAAACTCGTGGTCTGGAAGCGCTTGTTCTGTGACTTCCTCCTCGAGCTCCCGTTAGGCGTGTGCTGCGTTCCTATCAGCTCTCTTCCTTAGGCTTGTTCTTTAAAAGCCAAGCAAACAAATACGTCATATTTTTTGGGACCGACATTGTTGGGAATACAAAAAACAAAGGGGGTGGGGGAGTTAGTTTCTGTTTTTTCAAGGATCATGATTTTTGTAGCTAACAGGTATTAAGCGCTAGGCACTGTTGTTAAATTCTCATCACATTTTGATTTCACAGCAATCCCATAAAGCCGGCGTTCTAGGTATCTCCATTTATGGATGAGAAATTGAGGCACAGAGAGGTCTGCCCAGTTTGTAGAGAGGCTGCTGAAACTGAGTGGGGAACCTGGCAGTTGGGCTCCAGACTTTGAAGTTTTTTTTTGTTTGTTTGTTTTTTTTTTAATTAGTAATTTAGTGGGCTGACAAAGGTTAATAAAGTTATATAGGTTTCAGATGTACAGTTCTACAAAACATTATCAGTACTAGAGGCCTGTTGCACGAAGATTTGTGCAATAGCCCTTCCTTACCCTGGCTGCCAGCACCGGTTTTGCTGCGGCTGGAGCAGAGAAGCCAAGCCCCTTCAGTCTTTGCTCCAGGCCTGCATATGCAAATTAACCCACCACCTTTGTTGGGTTAATTTGCATACCAACTCCTGATTGGCTGGTGTGTGTCATGGAGGTATGGTCATTTTTTGCATATTTCTCTTTTATTAGTGTAGATTGTGTGTTCATTCCCACCAAGTTATGTGTCCTTCCATCACCATTTATTCTCTTCTATCTTCTCCCTCCCTTTGGTTTCATGATACTGTTTCCCTTTGGTGATCATGATACTGTCAAAGTATGTAGTATGTTTGTTGCTACCACTGCTTTTGCTTAATCCCTTCACCTTCTTCACTCAGCGCCCCCAACCTCCTTCCTCTCTTGACAGCTTTATTTTGTTCATTAGATTCCACATATATTCTGCAAACTATCATTACTAGAGCAAGTTAGTCATACACAGAGGAAGCTGTAATACATTACGATAAGAGCTTGAACTTACTGCTCTGGCTGCCGGAAAGCAACATGTGGTTACCTGGCTCTGACCCCAGGGAGTTAGGAAAGATGAGATGACGACTCCAGAATTGGAACTGGAGATGCAGAGACAGTTGTGTGTGCAGAGTAAGATGCGTGAAACAGCATGTTGAATTAGTGGACTATTAAGCATTTTATTTTAAAATACGTGTGTGAGGATACAAGAAGAGATAGGATGAGTGGAGAAGTAGGAACTAATTAATAAAGTGCTTTGGGATGGTTGTGTGTAACAGCAAAGAATAGACACAATGTTTTGCCTGACTTGGGCAAAAAGAGGAATTGATCGTTTCCAAGCATCTAAGCTAGAGTTAAATAGAAAGGTGGGCCTCAGAAAGCTGGGCTAGAAAGTCAAACTGCCAAGACTCTCCATTTCTTAATTCTGAGTGTTGACCACTTTCCCTAGTTAGCAGGAATCATGGATGTCGACAGCTTTTTGGTTTTGACAGTTTGCAGCTTCCTCTAACCCAGTGGTCAGCAAACTGTGGCTCGAGAGCCACATGCATCTCTTTGGCCCCTTGATTGTGGCTCTTCCACAAAATACCATGGCATGGGTGAATCTGTTTTGAAGAAGTGGCATTAGAAGAAGTTTAAGTTAAAAATTTGGCTCTCAAAAGAAATTTCAATCGTTGTACTGTTGATATTTGGCTCTGTTGACTAATGAGTTTGCCGACCACTGCTCTAACCTAACTAAATCGCAAGGGAAGGCTTTGATTTACCCAGCTTGGGTCAGGTGCCAGCTCACATGGTAATTACATCATTTCAGGGGAGGGCAGTAGGGGAGTTCCCAGAAGAGAAGTACAGGTGCTGAACTAAGAAAATAATCTGCTCACTATATCTTGCTCAAGTCAGTGGGCAACCATTGATTTTTTAAAAAATATATATGCTTTTATTGATATTAGAGAGATAGGAAGGGAGAGAGAAAGAGAAACATTGATGAGAGAGAAACATCAACACTGATCAGCTGCCTCCTACATGTCCCATACTGAGGATCGAGCCCCAAAACTGAGCATGTGCCCTGACCAGGAATTGAACTGGTGACCTATGGTTCATGGGTCAACACTCAACCACTGAGCCACACCAGCCTGACAACAAGTATATTTAAAAATAGTAAATTTTTTAGTTATATATGAGAAATTGTGTTGCCTTAAAAAAATAAAATAAAACTCATGCAGAATAGAAGAAACTTCAAATAGGCTCAAGCAGCTAACTTGCTCTTTTTTTCCATCTGTAGACTCAAATGTCCTTTTTTTATTTTTCAGTTCCTAAATTATTTCTGAACTTGAATGACTTAGTCCAGAGGGGAATGAATCTTGAGAAATGGCTACAGTCAGTGACTAGGTGGGTCTCTTCTAGTTGGAATTCGTTGGCATGCCAAACAAACCTAATTTTATCTAATTGATGAAATTGGGTAAATGGGCAAGAATAAAATCCTATGCTTCAAGTCAGAAAAGTGGATGGGCCCTCAAGAGGTGGTGTTTTGAGTGAAAGATCTGGGGGATTTTAGTTAACTACAAGTTTAGTATATGCCACCATTTTCCATATGTCCATCTCTTTAAAAAAGAGAAGAAAATATTTCATTCATATCTGTTACATCACTTCTGGGCTCCGTGTTTTAAGACAGTGGTCGGCAAACTCATTAGTCAACAGAGCCAAATATCAACAGTACAACGATTAAAATTTCTTTTGAGAGCCAAATTTTTTAAACTTAAACTATATAGGTAGGTACACTGTTATTAACTTAATTAGGGTGCTCCTAAGCTGGCCTTTGCTAAAAAATCAAGGGGCAAAAGAGCCGCAGTTTGCCGACCACTGTTTTAAAACACAGAGTGAGTGATAAAACCAGAATAGGGCCCAAAGACAGACAGGAATAAAAGAGAAGACTGCAGGGATAACTGGGGGTCTTGACCCAGCTGAGGAACTATTACATAAAAGGTAAAATAGACTTTACATATTTTAGGTGTCCTCATTCGAACCCTTAGTTCTGAAACTTCTGCAGATATAAGAAAATAATATAGAGATGTTCACACCTGTCAGAATGGCCAACATCAACAGATCAACAAACGACAGATGTTGGCGAGGTTGTGGAGAAAAAGGAACCCTCGTGCACTGCTGGTGGGAATGCAGACTGGTGCAACCACTGTGGAGAACAGTGTGGAGTTTCCTCAAAAAACTGAAAATGGAACTCCCATTTGACCCAGTAATCCCACTCCTAGGAATATATCCCAAGAAACTACAAACACCAATCAGAAAGGATATATGCACCCCTATGTTCATAGCAGCACAATCTACAATAGCTAGAATTTGGAAACAGCCTAGGTGCCCATCAGCAGATGATTGGATCAAAAAACTTTGGTACATCTACACAATGGAATACTATGCTGCCATAAAAAAGAAGGAATTCTCATCACTTGCAGCAACCTGGATGGAAATGGAGAACATCATGCTGAATGAAATAAGCCAGTCATTGAAAGAAAAACACCACATGACCTCACTCATTTGTGGATAATAAAGAACATTATAAACTGATGAAACAAAAGATAGATATAGAGACAGTATATCAACAAGCAGACTGTCAAATTACAGCGGGGAGGGGAGGAAGATTTGGGGGAGATAATAGATCAACCGAAGGACTTTTATACATGCACAGAAGTACAACCAATGGACATAAAACTCTGGGGAGGGAGGGGATGTGAGGGAGGGAGGGAGGGGGGGCAAAAAAAAATAAAAAAAAAAAATATATATATATATATTAAAAAAAAAAAAAAAGACTGAAGAAAGGACCTCTTTTCCACTATTTCGAATGCTTAATAGCTAATTTCATAACATCACATGTACCATTTTAAGAAAGTGATGATTTAGTGGGAAATTAATGCTTTGCATTTGTATACGGTAAATATAAATGACGATTTGTTTGAAATGTGTAACTTGGATATGCAAAAGATAATAACTCACAATGTTAATATTAAATATTCCTTCAAAATAAAAAAAAAGAAAAAGAAAAAGAAAATAATATAGAGATGTAATGTACAACATGATGACTGTAGCTAACACTGCTAAATGGTATCCTACATAATAAAAGAGTAATATGCAAATTAACCATCACTCTGCTACACTCACAAGCCAA